TAGAAAGCGAGAAACTGGAAGAGAGTTCCACAAGCGAGTAGTGCGAGAGAAGAAACTGTTAACTTAGAACTTACGGTTACATCTAGCCATTTGAACTTTAAAATGATGAGACCTTGACGCCAATCTAGTCAGACAGTTAAGTGTCATAAGTGATACACGCTTGGTCTATCATGTAGCTTTCGATACATGACCGACGAGGCAGATTTTTTTCCAGCAGTAGGTTGTATTTTTCTCTGCAGCAGACTGGTTTCCAACCAAGGCTAAAGAACCCTGTCTGTCTTGTTATTTAACTCATAGGTGGGGAGATTGATTAATATTTTTCCCAATGGGTATTTGTGCGTAAGTGAATCTAACGTACTTGACTCGAATTCGAACCTGCTTCTCCGAGTTCCCACACCGAGCCGATATCCATTACGCCAATCTAGTAGTTCTCTTAAATTCATAAAAGATGATAACGTATCATCTAAAATAATAACCTTACAATATCAGCCATTCTTGTATTAGTCGCGTTTTTTTTTTTTTCTTTTTTTTTTTTTTTTTTTTTTTTTTGTTATTCTTTAAAATGATAAACAGGAAAACTAAAATAAACCTTTCATAGCTAAACTTATTTTTTATTCATTTCTGGTCTGGTGCTACACAATCCTCCCTTTCACTCCGGCCTTGACAGAGTTCAAATGACACAGCCGTGTGACCGATTAATAATTTTCAACCCTGCGGCCTCTTTCCCACAGACGAAATGCTGAAAGCTATCTACAGCTGTATACAGACCTTTATAGTTAGTACCCGCTATGCCACGTACACAGGATCAAAACATCCTCATTTCCCTTCGTAATAAGGAAGTTTCTCTCAGAATTCTTCTTCTCTTGAACCACTACACTGTGTAGCAGACTCCCGAGATTATGCTTCCCCGAACACTACACTCTTAAGCTCTTCAAATTAAAGCACAACCCATCCTGGATAAGGCGATAAACTACATCCGACAGCAAGGCCTCTGATCAGGAAGTTTTGAAGAGCGTGGAACCACCTCTTAATTGCTGGAGTTCCCAGGTCCACTCTGACCCGGGCTGGTAGCACCTGTCAGGGTCCCAGCTGTTGACAAATACTTACTCCCTCAAAAGGAGTCAAAACACTATGAAAGTATAAAAATAGGTTTTAATACCAGCAATACATTTTGGGAAAAATTATTAACAACAGTACACTTTTGGAAAAAATTATTACCAGCAATACATTTTGAAAAAAAAAATTATTACCAGCAATACATTTTTGAAAAAAAAAATTATTACCAGCAATACATTTTTGGGAGAAAAAAAAATATTACCAGCAATACATTTTTGAAAAAAAATTATTACCAGCAATACAATTTTGGAAAAAAAATTATTACCAACAATACAGTTTTGGGAAAAATAATTATTACCAGCAATAGATTTTTGGAAAAGAAAATAACAGCAATGCATTTTTGAAAAAACAATATCAACAATACTTTTTTTGGAAAATAAAATATTACCAGCAATAAAAATCTTGTCGGCATTAAATAACCTATTGAGGTTGATATGTCGTAAAACATAACAAACCAAACAAAAGCACAAGTATTATCTATCCTACATATCCTCATCATTGTTTCGTTCTGTAACTCTCTTATTTGAGTGGACCTTGGCATTTGCATTGCGTAAACATTTTATAAAACTTGAAACTTTTGAACTTTGTCAAATGAATGTTGGCCTCGAGGTGTATGGTTATCGATGTCTGCAAGAACTTTCACTTAACTGCAAGATGATTTGCATATCTAGGTTCCTGCTGGGATTAAAAGATAATTTTTCATAATTTTTCCTCAATATTGAGTTCTTTCATCCATATTTTCTTCTGCGTGTCTTGGAATAAAATTCTAACATTAATTTCAGTAATTTAATCGAATTTGTTCACGGTATATTTTATGAAGCAAGAATGCCCAGCTATTAAATAAAAAAAAATGTTTTCACTCTTATCCATCTGTTGTGGCCTTGTTAGGGCCAGAAATAAAGACACAAAGAGAGGAATTGAGTTAAACAAATATATTAACAGAAACAGTAATACATACATGTACAAATGAGAGTGTTACAGCAAGAATGTTCGGTCCGAATGCCAGAGCTGACTGCTGGAATCTTCCCTCTCCAAAAGGCAGTACCTGCTCCTTTTTATAGCTGGGAGAGTCCATGCGTGTATGGGTAAATTACCATAACACTATCTATCTATTTTCGTCTGTTCGTCTGTATCTTTCTCATATTGTTCGTATATCTATCTATCTATCTATCTATCTATCTATCTATCTGTTATGGCCTTGTTAGGGCCAGAAATAAAAACACAAGAGGGGAATTGAGTGGGAAAATATTTATGGACGAAGAAAATTACAGCTACCACTATCATAAGAAAGACGCTGATAAAAATAAAAACATAATGGCGATCTGCAGAAACAGTAATACAAACATACACAAACGAGAGTGTTACAGTAAAAATGTTCGGTCGAAGTGTCAGAGCTGACTGCTGGAAACTTCCCTCTACAAAAGGCAGTACCTGCTCCTATTTATAGCTGGGAGAGTCTATGCGTGCGTGGGTAAATTTCCATAACACTATCATTACTTTATCTGCTACTAAATATAATACCAAGCTTTATTTAAGCGGCGGACTAGACTGGAAACGAGGTATCATCAATTTACTGTCGATAGATATACCACAGTAAAGTACTGTACTTTTCCTATCAATACTTTCAGGGTAATTGTTCGGACGAGCTCTTCGCTATGTTACCTAGGTTTTATGAATTTGAACACAGTACTAGATTAGGAACATGGCCTCATGAATTTATATTTGAATTGGCTGCATGTAACTGCGAATTCAATGTGAAGAGTTTTCATTTCTCACACCTATCGCTTGTGGAACATTCTTCTGGCTCTATGCTTTCCCTTCAACATTAATCTTAAAATTTTTTAAAGGCAATGCTAATCGTCATCAAATGTCTTCCCGACCTCTTCCCTATTTGCCATTAAAGAAGCACACTTTGCTGTACTGTACTGATGCGGCATTCACCCTGGGTGGATTGAGCCGGCTTCTTCCTGTTATGACAAGAAGATTCTTGGGATAAATTACAGAAGTAGGGTACCCAGGCCTACTCGGATAACGTTCTTGCTTGCCGCGGGGTTCCCACAGACGCAGAGACAGGAACGACCAGAAGCCGCCGGTTACCGATGCTTACGGTCAAATCACGCTGAAACACCGGTTCTCGTACGATCACCGAAGTTAAGCATCGTAGAGCCAGGTCAGTACTTAGATGGGGGACCGCTTGGGAACACCTGGTACTGTAAGCCCCCAAAGTCCAACACTTACCTCACAGTCGGTGGGGGTTTGTAAACGGTAGTGTCAGAGGTATGCCGACCGGAACTTCGTTCCTGGTAGGGCCACCCAAGGCGGACAGGTCTGTCACACACGCCGGCTAACAAGGGCTCTGGTGAAAATCCAAGGACACTTTGCTCGTTCAGATCAAATCAAAAAATGGTTCCCCCTGCAAAGAGGGACGAAGGATCGAATCCTACCGGAGAGCGCATTTTTCTTTAAGAAATATATATATATATATTTCATTAATTGCACGACCTCGAGTTTCATACCGCAGTTATATCCAAGTACTGGAACTATTATATATATATATATATATATACTCGACTCTCCCGTCGAATTCGACGTATGAGGGTCAAGCAGACAGCCCGACAACAGCACATGAGATTTGATTATAGTGGTGAAGGTTTCGTGCAGGACCATCCACACTTTTTGAAGGGCCCAATTCAGAGACCTGGTGCACGGTGACACAAGGTCCCCAAACGACCCTCCGCAGGTTTTGAATTCAAAGTTGTCCTTCTCCTAGACCAGTTGCTATCCAAGGCTATAGAACCCAGTCTGTCCTGCTATTTTACCCATAGCTGGAGGGAGAGGAAGAGGATTCATACCTTTCTCAAGGGTATTAGCACGTAAGTGAATGTAATGGATTCGACTGGAATTCGAACTCGGCTCTCCGATTCCTCAATCCAAGCCGCTACCCATTACTCCTCTATGTGTGTAGTGGGGATGGGTAGCCTAAAACATATACATACAAGCACAAATACTTGCACGTAAGTATATTTATTCCTTAGGTGTTATAAATAGAGTACTCAATGTTATGAAACAGAGCTATAAGTATATATTAGTGAATATACATAATATCCAACATTGATAACATCACTACAGCTATTAATGTTGGATATTATGTCTACTAACATATATATATATATATATATATATATATATATATATATATATATATATATATATATATATATATGTGTATATATGTGTGTGTGTGTGTGTGTGTGTGTGTGTGTGTGTGTGTTTGCTTCTTTATTGCTTTCTTTCTTTTCAATATCTGTTACTCATTCCTAATTTTTCATTGGTTGTCTGATTCTTTCTTTCTTTTTTTCTTTCTTTCTTTCTTTTTTCTTTCTTTCTTTTCTATATCCGTTCATCCTCACTCTTTTTCCATCGTTTGTTTGCTTTTTCTTTTCTTTTCTTTTTTCCTCTATTCGTTTATCTTTCCTTTTCGTTTATTGATTTTTTATTATTATTCTGTCTTTTCTATATCCGTTTATCTTTCGCCTTATTTCATTGGTTGTTTGATTCTTCAAGCAACCAATGAAAAGAAGGTTACAAAATAAAGGGGTACAGAAAAGAAAGAAAGAAAGATTCAAAGAAGCTTAATATTAAATGAAGGAAGGAAGCAATGAAATTATAGGGTAACAAGTGTAGAAACTGCTAAAGAAAAAGAACAAACAAGTATGAAACATGAGTAAGTAGAAACCGAAAAGAAAATGGCGAAGAAACGAACAAAAACAGCATCAAACAGACAAACACAAAACAACAACACAGTAGGTCGAAAGAAGAAATTAAGTCCCTTCAAAGTAGAAACAAAGAGAGGGCAAGGAGATTCAGTATTGAGAGGGAAGTCA